ATGTAATCAGATCTCAGTAAAACAGTGATCTGTCTTTTTAAAAACCAAAAGAACTATGGATGCTGTAAATCAGGAACAGAAACAAAAGTTGCTGGAAAAACTCAGCAGGTCTCGCAGCATATGTGAAGAGAAAATCAGAGTTCATGTTTCAGGTCTGATGACCCTTCCTCAGAACTGATGGTAGCTGGGAAAATGTCAGTTTATATGCAGAAAATAGGGAGGGGTGTGGGATCGGGAGTAAACGATAGGATAGAGCCTGAAGAGAGAGGAGAGCAGTTGGATAGATAAAGGAGTTGACAATGACCTGGCTAGGAGAGTGAGTAGTTGCTAATGGGGACTGTGAGTGACTAACAATTGATAGTGTGTAATGGCAGGTTATGTGATAGCAAGGCCTGCTGTGTGGGGTAGGGGGCTGGGACATTGGAAGAGTTTAGGCCCTAAAATTATTGAACTCGATATTGAGTCCGGAGGGCTGCAGGATACACAGGCAAAAAATGAGGTGAGGTTATTCCAGCTTGCGTTGAGCTCCGCTAGAACACTGCAGCAAGCCTGAGACAGATGTTGGTTGGGGAACAGGGTGTGTTAAAGTGGCAGGCAATAGGTAGCTCAGGGTCTTTTTGCGAGCAGAACATAGATGTTCTGCAAAGCGGTTGCCAAGTCTACACTTCGTTTCCCCAATGTAGAGGAGACCACACTGTGAGCAGTGAATGCAGTAGACTAGATTCTGGGAAGTGCAGGTGAAGTGTTGCTTCACCTGGAAGTTATGTTTGGGCCCTTGGATACTGGGGAGGGAGGAGGTAAATGGGCAGGTGTTGCACCTTTGGTTGCAGGGGGCATGAAGGAAGAGTGGACCAAGGTGTCCCAGAGGGAATGGCGGACAAGGGAGGGGAGGGGAATATGTGTCTGGTGGTAGCATCTCGCTGACGATGGTGGAAATGGCATTTTCCCAGCTACCATCAGTTCTCAGGAAGGGTCACTGGACCCGAAACGTTAATTCTGATTTTCTCTTCACAGATGCTGCCACACCTGTAGGGATCTGTCTTTTATTCTGCAGTAAAATAATATCAAACCTGAAGATAGCAGTTTATTTCCATGTGCCTCGTGCCAACAAGTGAAAGTAACTGAAGAAGGAAGATTGTGAAGCAGCATCCTGATCAGCACAAAGATCACCTCAGCAAACCCTGTGGACAAAGATCACTGAACTGGCTTCCTGGTCTTTCCCTGCATCCATAGCATCCATGCTTTTATATATGTGTTTCACGGGGAGTTTATAACAAGGTTAGAGTTTTAACTAGTAATTCTATGTTGACAGTTCATAATTGTTTACCTGTAGTCAATCTGTTTTTGTAATAAGTAGTCACTTCTGCTAAGTACAGTTACCTGGTCTGTACTTGCTGTCAACCTGGGACTAAAAGACAGGTAAATTAGGTATTTTGTGTACTTTTCAAACTCTTTCACTTATGTGATAAATCTGGGAATAGTGGGGCTTTATTTCCAGCACGCTGTGAGCTGTAACACAATGAATTACCTTCTGTTTCTCTGCATTGAACTTCATCTGACATCTATCTGCCTGCCACCAATTTGTGTGTATCATTTTGAAGTACTGCACTGACCTCCTCACATATTATATTTTTTTTCAAATTCTGTGTCATCTAAAAACTTTGAAATTGTCTTATGCATGCGAGGATCAAGATCATTCATACATAGCAAGAAAAACAAGTGCGCCAACACCAACCCTTGGGCAATTCTGTTATAAGCCTTCCTTCAGTCTGAAAAGCACCCAGTAACTATTCCTGTTTCCTATCACTTAGTCAATTCTGTACCCCTGTCACTACTATCCGTTTTATTGCATAACTCTGTACTAGACTCCGCTTTTCCATTGGCTAACTAAATGGGCTTGCTGTTGCAAGCTTAAAATTTCTTCATTGTCATGATACTGATGGAAATAGAGTGCTGGAAATCAACCCCACTTCAGTAAGTTACCGTGAGCGTGAACATAGAACAGTACAGCACAGTACAGGCTCTTCGGCCCACGATGTTGTGCTGAACTTTTACCCTAAACCTAAGGTCTATCTAACCTTCACCTCTACCTTATATTATCATCCATATGCCTATCTAATAGCCGCTTAAATGCCCCTAATGAGGCCGAAACCAG